TCCATTCACTCCACCGACATTTTTCTGTTCATAACTATGCACCTTATGAAAATAAATGGTAACTTGTATGTAAAGTAGTTGGGGCTTGGTGGTTACTGAAAAAAATTCCAAAATCAATTCTTTTTACAAGTAATTTAAAGCATGGGTGGGGGCAGGATTGGGAAGAGGGTGTCAATGGGAGGAAAAAAAAAAACATCTGTAACAAAATAAATTAATAAAATATTATTTTTTGCAAACAAGGGTCTCTTAATAGACTACTCTATTCTCTCTAGCCTCTTTGCACAGAGGCTATACAGAGAATTTCCCGTGTGTATTACTGTTTTATAATAATATATCATCAATCTCCATCAAAGCCCTGTTTTCCCAATGTCAGTATATGGTGTAGAAGCATCTTCATGTCGTCCTGAGTTTGGCAGTGGAAAGGGGGAAATGGAGAAAAAGTATGTGCAAGGAACTTCAGAGCCTATGTCCTGTCCATGTCTAACCATGTCTGGAGAGAAAAGGAAGCAACAGTTAAGTTATCACTATGTCATCAGTAAAGGGGTTCTTGCATTCCTTCAAGGTAGAAATTAAGAGAGGAGGTGAAACAGATTCAAAAGAAGAGGTTTCCTGTAAACAAGGTGGTGGGGAAGAAGAAAAGGAAGGAGCTTGGTGCATCAAGGGAGCACACACAAATGAGGAATATGGGTCTGGTTTATTTAGGGCTAGGTTCTTCATTCAGGTGCTAAGCCGAGCTCTTTGCTTTCCAAGTTTCCTCCATGGGCTGGTATCCACTGGAATCGTCACAGAGCTGAGCACTTTGAAGAGCACTTGAAGAAAAAAATTAAACTTATCTAGGAGAGGCTTAGAAAATAACCAAAAAGGATTCTTATCCATTTAAGATAGGCTCAGCTTGTCTCAACAAAACATGGGGCAACTCAAATATGATGCTGAGAGAAAGAGGTTGTACACACATGCACTAATACTAAATGATTTCCTTTGTGGGAAGCGTAAAACAAGGCAAAAATTCAACTCTACAAGGACAGATGTGTGCATTGCCAGGAGTCAGGGGTGGGCATGGGACTGATTGCAGAGGTGGTAAGAAACTTTCTGGGGTAGTGGAAGGGTTCTAGACCTTGATGGATACTGTTGTATACATTAGCTAAAATTTCTCATCTGGATACAAAAGGTGAAGTGTTTTAGTATATGTAACTTATATCTCATTCAAGGTGATCTTAAATATAAAGAAAAGTTTCCAAACAGTGGACAAAAAAACAGTAATGTGGCTCCCTGAGGAGAGAAGCAAGAACAGCAGGTGTGCTTCAACATACATTCTCTCAGTTGCCTGCTCTCTTCATTGTCTCTTTCATACCTTCCCCCTACTCTATCCTGGTAGGGGTCTCTTTGCATCTCCACCCACATTTTATTGTCCATACAGTTTCTAAACTGAAGTTCTGGATCATATCCTTTCCCTGCTTAAACACTCTCCAGTTACTTCTTGTTACCCCACCTCAGGACTTTTACACTGGCTGTTCTCACAGCCTGAAGCTCTCTTTTCTTGGTCTCAGAAGTACTTTTTTGTCCTTTAGGTTTCAGCTTAAATGTCTGTAATCTCAAATAGTATCCCTAAACTTTGTATGGTTTCAATCATTTCTCTCTTTCACCATTTCTATTTTAATTACAACAAAGCCTTATTACACCCTTATCTTATTGATTGCTCCCCCCCCAACACACACCCTAAAGCTGGGCTCTGCCACTAATCATACTTGGCCATGGGGAGCTTGAAATAAGGACAGTCTGAATTGACACGTGCTCTAAGTATAAAATATACACACAGGATTCCACAGACTTAGCACACAGAGAAGAATGTAAAACATCTCATTAACAATTGCTTGCTGGGTAGCTAAGTTGATTAGAGCATCATCCCAATATGCCAAGATTGTGGGTTCAATCCCTGGTTGGGGCACATACAAGATGAAACCAATGAATGCATGAATGAGTAGGGTAGCAGTTCAATGTTTCTCTCTAAAATAAATCAATAGATTTAAAAATACAGTACATATAGTTAAAAAAATAATTGCTTGCATATATTAAAATAATATTATGGATTTGTAAAGCAATTATATAAACTGAGTAGCTTCAAAATGATGTCAAAGCTACCACCCCAGAGAAACTGCCTTGAATGTCTTACTCTTCCAATATTTGAATGTTAAAACTGGGCAAAATAACCCTTGATCTGAGTCTACAGCAGTGGATGCCAATTCAATGCCAAAAGGAGTCCTCAATTTGGAATGCAGTAATGGAAGAATGGTTTCATTCAGTTAAAAGAGCTAAATTGTGAAACTGCACAGCTGAGAGACAGCAGGATTTTTTTTTTCCCATCACTATTAATCATCATACTGTTGTCTGTGTCTATGAGTTGTTTGTTTTGTTGTTGCTGTTGTTTTTGCTTAATCCCTCCACTTTTTTCACCCAGTGCCCCAATCCCTCCTCTCCTCTGACAGCTGTCAGTCTGTATCTATGAGTCTGTTTCTATTTTGTTTGTTATTTTATTTTGTTCATTAGATTCCACATATAAGTGAAATCATATGGTACTTGTCTTTCTCTAAGTGGCTTGTTTTTCCTCCAGGTCAATTCAAGCAAAGGGTAAGATTTCATTCCTTTTCAAGGCCGAGTATTATTCCAATATTTTTTTTTACTCACTCACCTACAGGTGGACATGGACTGCTTCCAAATCTTGGCTTTTATAAGTAACTCTGCAATGAACATAGGAATGTAGATATTCTTTTGAATTAGTGTTTTGGGTTTCTTTGAATAAATTCCCAGAAGTAAAATCACTGGGTCATAAGGAAGTTCCATTTTTAATATTTAGAGGTAACTCCAGACTGCTTTCCACAGTGGTTGCACAACGTGCATTCCCACCAACAGTTAACTCGGGTTCTGTTTCTCCATATTCTTGCCATTTATTGTTTGTTGATTTATTAATGATAGCCATTCTGACAGGTGTGAGATGATACTTCATTGTTGTTTGAATATGCATTTGTCTGATGATTAGTGTCTGATGATCAAGCATCTTTTAATATGTCTATTGGCCATCTGTATGTCCTCTTTGAAGAAATGTCTATTTAGGCCATTCGCCCATTTTTTAATTTGATTTTTTGGTGTTAAGTTTTATACATTTTTTAAAATAAATCTTGGATATTTACTCCTTATTAGATGTATCGGAGAAATGTTCTCCCATTCAGTGCGTTGGCTTTTCATTTTGTTGATGGTTTTCTCTGCTCTGCGAAACTTTTTAGTTTGATGCTGTCCCATTTGTTTACTTTTATTTTTTCTTTTGTTTTCCTTGCCCAAGGAGATCAGAAAAAAAATATATATTTATGAGAAATGTCAGATTTTACTGCCTATGTCTTCTGCTAGGAGTTTTATGATTTCCAGTCTGACATTTAAACCTTTAATCCATTATGGATTTTTTTTTTTTCTTTATTGATTTTTTTTTTTTTTTTTAAGAGAGAGGAAGGGAGAAGGGAGAGAAAAAAACCAACGTGAGGGTGAAACATCGTTAGGCTACCTCCTGCACGCCCTATACCAGGGCATGAGCCCTGACTGGGAACCAAGCCAACAACTTTTAGGTGCACTGGATTATGCCCAATCAACTGAGCCACATTGACCAAAGTGAATTTATTCTTGTGTGTGGTATAAGAAGGTAGTCTAGTTTCACTTTTTGAAGTGTATTTGTGCAATTTGTCTAACACTATTTGTTGAATAAATTATTTTTACCCCATTTTATGTTCTTGCCTCCTCTGTCAAATATTAATTGACTAAGGAAGAGTGGGTATATTTTGGGGCTCTCTATTCTGTTCCATTTATCTATATGTCTGTTTTTATTCCAGTACCATGTTATTTTGATTACTATGGCTTTGTAGTATAGTTTGATATCAGGTAGCATAATTCCTCCAACTTTTTTTTTTTCTCAAGATTTTTGTGGCTACTTGGTGTCTTTTGTGGTTCTATAAACATTTTTTGATTATTTGTTCTAGTTCTGAGAAATATGCCATTAGTATCTTGATAGGATTTGCATTGCATCTATAGATTGTTTCTGGTAGTATGGACATTATAGTGATGTTAATTTCTCTTATCCCTAAACACAGTATTTACTTCCATTTATTTATATTTTCCTCAATTTCTTTTTCAGTATCTTATAATTTTTAAAGATAGGTCTTTTACATTATTTCTAGGTATTTTTTAAAATTTATCTTTATTATTGAAAGTATTACAGACCTATAGGGCAGTCCCTCTACAATGTCAAGTTCAAGGCTCACTCACTCACTCTGTTACATACAGACTCTAGGCCTCCTGGCCTTGGAGAAACACAAGAAAGATTTGTTGAATAAATAAATTAGTTGTGAAAAAGAGAACCTGAACTTTTTACCAAGTAGAGGTTGATTACTTCACTTATGTTTGGCAAAGATACTCCCCAGTACAAGATGCAGATGGCATCTTCCCCAGCCTTTGAAATCATTGCCTTGCTCTGGGATCTCTAGAATTCGGCCAATTGCTCAGACACCAAGACACGTATTTTTCCCTTTTTAAAAAATCATGGGGTACAAGCTGTTCAGGCCCAGGGAAGGGTGACACCTTCTGTTGAGACCAAGGTGAGCTGAGCTTCAGAGCACACTAGAGGAGGTATGGGGGTGGTGGGGAGGAGCTGAAATTGGTAGGGGAAGAAGCTCAGACTGACTTAGGTGACAAGGCGGGGTCTGGGCGGAGGGGCAGGGCTCAGGGTGCGGAGGAGGAACTACGGGTAGGGGAAGGATTCTTGCTGGAGGCTCTAGAGGTCTGGGACTGGGAGGTAGGTGCTGAGTGAGAGGGTAACGAAGAGCTGGCGAAAGCAGCTGGTAGGAAGAGCAGGACCTCAGTACTGAAAAGAAACAGGGCCCAAGGGGAGAAGCTGGTTAGCGGAAAGGGTTGGGGGATGTGACGGAGCGGAAGAGGAGGAGCCGAGGGAGGGGCGGGCTGAGGGAGGGCAACCAGGGGAATAAAAGCCTCAATAAGTGTGTAGTTCTCGCAGCATTAGGATCTCACTCTTAGCCTTTTCTATGGCCCGGCTCCTGCGTACCCAGCTGTTCCTGCTGGCCGCTCTGACCCTGGCCCTGGCCCAGGCAGTGAGCCCCACGGCAGGTGCAAGCCCCGACAAGCCTCGCTTGCTGGGCGGCCTGGCAGAGGCAGACGTGAACGAGGAGGGCGTGCAGCAGGCGCTCAACTTCGCCCTGAGCGAGTACAACAAAAAGAGCAATGACCTCTTCCGCAGCAGCGCCATACGGGTGGTGCACGCCCGGAAGCAGGTGCGTCCAGGGCTCTGGTGCTGGGGGCTGCTGGGCGGGTGCAAGGGCTGCAGGTCGGGAGGGCAACCGGGATGGAGGAGCCTGAGCCTCATGAGGGTTTGGCCCTCGTGAGGAGATCAGCCCAGCCACAATCACTGAACCCGCAGGAGGTTCAACCCGCTGGAGCTTCTCAGCCAGGCAGCTTCTCTCATCTTTCATGTGGCCCATAGACCCACCACAGACCTTCACAGGCTTATTCACCAGGCATGGCATTGGGTCGGGCACATTGGGTCTGTGCCCAGGCCTTCATTTGTTTTCAAGCACCAGCCCAGCAAGAAAGACAGGGGTTGGGGTCAGGGTCGATATACAGCCCGCTTTAGTTCCCTACCAGGCTCATGAGATTGTGTGTGTTAGCAGCTAAATGACAATAGGCAAAGAAAAACAAGAGGGCATGGTTGCCCTCTTGGATCTGCCACTGAAAGATTTTTTAAAACACTTTTATTCCTTTGGCATGATTTCAGATTTAGAACTCACTTGCAAAAATAGCACATAGAATCCCTGTAGATTCTTCACCCAGATTACTCAAAATGTTAAAATGTTGCCCTATTTACTTTATCCACTTCCCTCCCTCTCCACATGTGTGTGTGGGTACATCTATGCAGTTATTTCTCTGAACCACTTGAGAGTATATATTTTCTAAAAACAAGGGCATTTTCTTATATATGTAATCACCATACAATTTTGAAAATCAGGAATAAACATTGAAAAAATGATCTAATGCATAGACCTTATCACCAATCTGTGATTGTTCCACCAATGTTCTTTATAGCCAGGGGCACTCCAGAGTCATGCATTGCAGCCTCCTTAACCCTGGAGCCCCTGTCTGTTTTTTCATTACCTTGTCATTTATGGAGGGTCCAGCCAGTTTATGTTGCTCTGAGGTTTCCTCAGGGTAAGATTTGGGCCATGAAGAAGAGAATGTTCTCCGAGTCTCCTCTCAATAGGTGCCACTAAACCAACCTCTATGTCCTCTATGTGCAGTGGTATTTGGGGCCACAGGGCACTCCAAACATCTTCCCTGAGGAGGGGCCCTCACTACTCCCCTGGTCACTCTGCGGGTACCAGTAAACACAGAGGAGTCCTGGATATGGTCTCTGGTAGATGCTACTGCAGAGGGCCTTGCATAAGAATTCACGTGCAGAGATTCTGGAGGAAAGCCCCTGGAGCATTACTTCCCTCTATTAGTCGCATCTATGAATGAGACTTTGGGTTTTGAAGTCTCATTTTCCACTCTTAGATGGGCACTCCACCACCAGTAGTTAGAAGTAGTTGATGGTATGCTGGGGTAGAGAGGACCACACCTGACCTTGCCTCTGCCAGCCCGCCCTGAAGTTCTGTCCAGACAGGGAGGGAAGTCACTAGAATGGGAATGAAGGGAACCTCAGAAAGGCTACTGGACCTTGAGCTTTTCCTTGAAGGAAGGCTGGCATTTAGAACAGCTGGCCTGCATCCCATTGAAGAGGAGAACATAGCCACACAATAGCAAAGTGTGGTACTTGCTGCCTGCCAGTGTTTAGAGCCTGTTTTTACCTCCTCTTGAAACTTCAGATAGTGAGTCAAGATCAGACCCATTTCTTCTACAGCATTTGGCTTGCACTGTCCTCTTTGGATAAAAGATGCTCTTCCTGCTCCCCAGGTCCCCACCAGCCTGCTCCTCTCCAGTATGACACTAGTTTGGTGTCACAACTGATCAGCCCATGTGGAAAACTGACAACAGAGAGATCATAGGACTTGCTTGATGTCCAGTGTACAGAGTCTAGAGCCTAGTCTGGGCCCCTCATCTCGAGATTCTCCAAGTTTTCATGAGGTGTGTTTGGGGGATGCCTGTGTGAGGACAGGTTTTCTATAATCTCAAATATAAAAGACACAAGGTGTGTGACACACTTTAGAAGTGTTCCCATCACAAATAACACTTGTCCAGCGAGTGTGGCTCAGTGGTAGAGCACCGTCCCATGGACTGAGAGGTCCCAGTTTGATCCCTGGTCAGGGCACATGCAGGAGTTGTGCAGGAGATAGCCAATTGATATATCTCTCTCACAGTGATGTTTCTATCTCTCTCTCTCCCTTCCTCTCTCTCTCTCAAAATCAATAATAGTAATTTAAAAAGAACATATTAAAAGACACAAAGTAGCCTGGCCGGTGTTTCTCACTGGTTGAGCTTCAACCCATGCACCAAGAGGTCGCCGGTTTGATTTCCAGTCAGGGCACATGCCCAGGTTGTGGGCCCGATACCCAGTGAGGGGCATGCAGGAGGTGGACAGTCAGTGTTCTCTCTCATTGATGTTTCTATTTCTCCCTCTCCTATCCTCTCTCTCTAAAATCAATCAATAAATAAAAAAGACACAAAGTATGTGACACACTTTAGAAGTGTTCCCATCACAAATAACTCTTAAAAGTCAGACATTTCAGAGGCATCTTTTATTGGCCTTAAGCATACGTGTGTGTGTGTGTGTGTGTGTGTGTGTGTGTGTGTGTAAAGCAACTCATTTCCTACTGCTCAGTTAGGGTGTGAGTAAACCTGGTTACATGGAATGAGAGTCTCAATGGGCTGGATGTTACTAATAGGACTACAGCTTCAAGGTCATTATCATGTGAGTCTTCCTGAGATGGAACCAGCCTTAGCTCCAGCAGAACTGTCATTTTGTCTTAGTCCCTGCCCTGGTTCCTGGTGCTGGCACAGTTGATTTGGTGACACCCTGGCTGGCTCCCCAGAGCTGCATATTCAGCTCCTGGCAGAATTTTGATGTCTAACTCCACCTTCCATTTTCCTGCCTCTCTTCCCGCCAGGCTGTGTGGCACTCCTTGTCAGAGCTGCTCTGTAAACAACTTACAAGGAGGACCTAGGGCACATCAACTTTGGCAGCCATCAGAAGTGCCTCCTGGGTGCTGTCTCTGGCAACCCATGGATGCTGGCCCAATATGCAATAACAGGAAGGTAACTGTCCCTGTGTGACATGGGTAGGTGTTGAAAGCCAGTCTTACTCTTTTCATGCACAGGTTGTGGCTGGGCTGAATTACTTCTTGGATGTGGAAATCGGTCGAACCACATGTACCAAGTCCCAATCCAATTTGTCCAGCTGTCCCTTCCATGTCCAGCCGCACCTGAGGAAGGTATGTATGTACTTCATCTGGGCCAAGGATCAGGCATGCAGGGCAAAGGGATGGGGCTGTGCCATGGAGGTATGTTATGGGTGATACTGTGGCACGTGTGGAGTGTGTAGGTGTTGATGTGTGTGTGGGGGAAGAGTGCCAGTTTGTATATGCTGGTTCCTAATTAGAATTTATAAGGACATTTGAGCTGGACATTTGGGTACCATGGGGTTTGGGATTGTTGCCTGCTAACTGGAGGAATCACTTGTGGGGGGAGATAGGGCCCTTTAATCCCAACCTCAGCCATTGGAACAGATGAGAGGGAATTAGAGACCTATAAGGAAGAAGCTTTCCCATGCTGTCCTGCTCACTGAACACCAGCCTATCCCCTGGGCTTGACTGGTTCTTAGGATATCTCAGCCTCTGGGGAGACCTCCATCCTCTTGTCACCTCCTTAAACACACTGCCTCTTTCAGGAGGGTTTACTGGACCCAGATCCTTCCCTCTTAGTGCTAGCCCACTGGATGTGGAGGGAACTTGGCAGCATACCATACACCTTCTGGGGCTGTGTGGTACTGTGTGGGCTGCTCCTTAAAGGGCTGTGCTAGGGGTACAACAGTGTGGATTACTGCAGGGAAAGGGGACATGAAGCCACCTCCTGGACTTGGAGTGATGGGAGGGGTTACCAGGAGGCCACTGCTGAGTCCTGCATAGTCTTCTGGGACAAGGCAGGGTAGGGGGCTGAGAGTTCCACCAAACAACCAGAATTCCTCATCTGTGCTTCTGAGATCTCATGCTGGGCCATTTCCTTTTTAACTGTAACCCATGCTGACCATCTCTCTTGCTTCCCTTTTGCAGAAAGCACTCTGCTCTTTCCAGGTATACACTGTCCCCTGGTTGGGCAAGAGCACCATGATGAAGTCCACCTGCCAGGATGCATAGAAGACATGTGACAGGCTGGGCCATGCAGACTGCTTCTCACTTGCACCCCAACCCCTGGTAGAGTCCCCTCATGTAATGTCCCCAGGAGACAAATAGAGAAGACCTCTTGAGCATTGTTTGAACAGCTAAGTGGCTCTACCTTGTTTCTTTCTCTTGATTGCTTTCTAGATGCCTCTGTCCTTTGTGCAAATGTTCTGGTTCTACTTCACACAATAAAAAGTCACATCAGCTACTCCTTGAATTGTTCATTGTCTTGGGGATATACCTGAAGGGTTCAGACAGTTATTTGTGAAGAGCTCCTGTCCTGCTGGCTCTGGTGGGCAAAGCTGAGAATGAGAGCTGACACATACGGCCACAGTGAGCATGTTAGCGGAATATGCTGACCCTTTTTGGATGACTGAGTCATGGAGGGGGACTGAAAATCCAGGCTTTTGGTTGTGGTGGCTCTGATAATCTAAAAAGTAGGAAGGGATCTATGCTTCTGTCTCTGAAAACTTGGCTGCTATGTTTGAAAAGAAGTCAGACAGTGAGCAGAGCCTGGACAGTAGGAAGAGGTCAGATGGATCCCATAGCCCAAGGCCTCCCTCAGCAAGGTTCTGAAGAACCATAGGTTTTAGCCAGGTGTGGGAGCTCATCAGACCCCTGGGGCTGATGTGACTGCTGACGTTCCCTAGAGACTAAAGAAATAATGCTTTACATCTACTTTTCCACCCAATAGCCTACAGGCATCAGTGAGAAGTTTAAGACTACAAATATAGGTGTGTATGTATAACTGATTGGGGAAATGCCAGTCAGAATAAAAATAAATCAAGGTCAGATACAGGCTTGAGAAAGAAAGAGTTAAAGCAGCACCTTCTCTGATATGGTCCAGCAATCTGTTCTACAAGGATTTTAGTAATTTATACCCACCAGCCTGTTTGTGAGTCCCCAAGTGTTTGTGCCTTGTCTCATCTTAGCTGGCAGCAGAACCTGCTCACCCCAGACTTTAAGTAAAGGGCTTTGACATTAGAGAAGTGAAACAACTGCCCATAGCTGGAAGAGATTTGGGCCTGGGCCCTGTGGGAAAAAGGAGTGGTTCCTGGATTTAGGGATGACATACTTATGTTGGAAGATGGGGGATGGTATTGAAAAGCAGACTATAGAGAGTAATAGTGGCCTTGGCTGAAGGTTCCCCTACAGGGTCTTGAGGGAAAATCTTGATTTTAAAATAGCAACCAGCATCCAGGCACTGCAATGAAATGATGATTTCATGTAAACCCGTGACTTTGAAACACTTCCCATTTAATTCTGTCTTCTAATGGAAGTTGGAGGTGGAAGGATGAGGAGCAGTAAGAGGGTGGGGAAGGAGGATAGGAGCTGAGCACACAGCTCCATTCACCTGTGCCTCCTACACTTTGATCCCCTGCATCTGCTCCCTTCTCCTTCCATCATCCAGGCCTCCGGTTTTACAGCCCACAGCACAGGGATTCCAACGGGTACCACCACAGATAGGGGGCTGGTCTGTCGATATCTAGACTCTGGAGTTCTGAGTGAGTTCATGTAACCCAGAACACTCTGACCCAGACATCACTAAGACCAGTGTATCATGGCGAAGTGCAGCCCTGCAACTTTTACTGCCAATTTTACTTTGGTGTTTATTTTAAATGTAAATATAAGTGTATAATTTATATAAAATATTAATAGGCTTACACAGTGCCTGAGTGAATAATACATTTTAGATATTTTGTTATTGAGGTAATGATATATTTTGGTGGTTTAAAATATGGTCCCACACAGACAATAGTCTGGGGAAGGCAGGAGGGTGGTGAGAGTGGGGAGGAGGGGGTCAATGGGGGAAAAAAGAGGGAACATGAAAATAAAAATTAATTAATTAAATTAAATATGATCCCATATTTTATTTGCATTGAGAGGTGGGGTCTGTGAGCTGCCTCCTGACTCAGTGTGCTTGTGACTGTGTCAACCAAAAACTTCAGAAAAAGTGACCCTGCAACCTAGATGGGGTCAAGGAAGAACCCAGTGCTTCTACCAAAATCTCGGGCACCTGCCCCAGGTATAAAGCCAGTATCCATGAAAGGGCCCCACTTCTCAAGACCACCATGCTGGAGAGGTTCTTGCTGATGTCCACTTAACAGCCCCATCTGAGGGGCCAAAGCGGGCATTAGCTACCAGCCACTTTAGTGGGCCACCATGAATGTCCAGCTTAACTGAGTTCTCAGTGACTGCAACTCCACTGTCATCTCACTGCAGTCACATGAGAGCCTACATAAGAATTGTCTACCTGCTCCCTCCTTGAATTTCTGGTCCACAGAATTATAAGCAAGAGGAAATGGTTATACTACACCTCCAAGTGTTAAGGTGACTCATTACACAGCAGTGGTGTCTGGGACATACTGTGTGTGTGTGTGTGTGTGTGTGTGCGTGTGTGTGTCCCTGCATACACAGTAGAAGCCAGATGGCCTGGGTGACACTTCCACTGGCTGTATAACCTGGGCAATCTCCTTACTCTCAGTGAGCCCCACTTGTCATCAGTAAGGGGACAGTATGCACCCTTTTCTTTTCCACTTGTTCCAATCTGTAAAGCACCAACAACAGTGCAGTTTGTTACATAAATAGATATTATTCCAGTCAGAATGTTAACATATTTTTATATGGTGTTCCATAAGGGCTACATTTTACTTTTTCAAATGTTATTAGTCACTATATTTTTTTTTACCTGTGAGGTTTCCAAGAACTCTTTCAAAAGGCCATCATTGCTCTGGCCAGTTTGGATCAATAGTTAGAGTGTTGGCCCATGGCCAAACTGTCACAGGTTTGGTTCCAATCAAGGGCACATGTCTCGGTTTTGGTTTGCTCCCTGACCATGCAGGAGGTAACCAATTATTGCATCTCTCGCACATCGATATTTGTCTCTCTCTCTCTCCCCCACTCACCCCCACTCTATCTGAAGATAAATGGAAAAATATCCTTGGGTGAGGATTAAAAAAAAAAAAAAGGCCATCATTTGTACAGCAAATTCCAATAGTATTATAGGTCAGCTTCTCCATTTGTCCTAAATCTAGCTGGGTTTATTTTTCTGTGCCAACTACTTCATTTAAAATATATTGTGTTGACTTCTGATTAAGATAGCTGCATAGATAAACATGGCACTTGCCTCCTTCCACAACCACATCAAAATTACAACCAAACTACAGGAAAAAAACGTTATGCAGAACTACCTGAAATCGAGCTGAACGGAAGTCTTACAGCCAAGAAATTAAAAAAAGAAGCAACTCTGAGACTGGTCCCACACCCAAGTGTGGCAGATAAAAAATCAGGAGGGATACCCTGGCTGTGAAGGTCCTTCCTGAGGAGTGAGGGGTCCCTATCCACACCAGGCCCCCAGCTCAGGGAGAGAAATCCCCATAACTTCTGGCTATAAACACCAACAGGAAATAACAGTGAGGCTACTGGAGTCCCAGGCAGCTCCTCTTAAAGAGCCCATGAATAGACCTATTTGACTTGCTCCTTCCAGGTTCCATCACTGGGGAGGCAGATTGAAAGGCACCTGAGACATACAGTGAAGAACTGATTTCATTGGGGTGAGAACTGGAGAGGCAGCTTTTTCCCAGAAAGACTTACTGGCAGAGCTGTGTCTTTGATGAACGCTTCTCCCATGGAACCAGCAGACAGGCACCATATATGGGACTCCAGCAATCTGGCTCACACTGCTTGTCCTACCCTGATGATTCCCTGAGGCCCTACCCCATCAAACTTTTAGACCCATTCAAGCTGTTTCCAGTGGCTTTACCATAGGATTGGCCTGTCTTGGCTCCTGTCTCAGATTTTTCTAAATTCTCAAATAAGCAGCATCTGGCCTCAGCCCCATACCTCTCACTAAATAGCCCCAGGCCTGGCACTAGAAGCAGCTAGCATTGGTTCACACCTTGGCTTTGCCTGGGTACCTTCAAACCCAGCACAAGAAGCAGTTATCTGCAAATCACTTTGTAGCTTATTCCTGGTGGCTCCAGCTAGAACACAGGCAGTGGCTGACCTTGGACTGGGTCTCCTGGGAGGACCCAACGCCAGCACACCCAGTAGATAGCTTCAGACCATGACAAAGCACCACCACCCAACCACCTCCACAAGTGACACTCTCAAGAAGTGGACTCAGGGAGTATCTGAAGTAAGGCTTGCTCCATGTGGTGGGCCCCTGCACAGCTGGGTAGTCTGAGGTAAGTGCTAAATGGACATAGCCAGTCCTTACAGCTGATTATGCTTAGTAAATCTATCACATTGAAGTGCCTACAGTAATCAAGACTCATTTACAAGAGAAGAGTGAACAGTCCATATGAGGGGTCCAAACTACACCTTGAGGACCCAGCTGGGGTGATCAGGGAGGTTGTGCCACTGGACCCTACAGGCCACTTACTATAATAGACCACCCTATGAAATCTAGGAGACATAGCAACTCTACCTAATACATAAAAACAAATACAGGCAGGCAGCAAAAATGAGGAGACAAAGAAATGTGTTGTAAATGAAAGAACAGAACAAAACTCTGGGAAAAGTACTAAACAAAATAGAGATAAGCAATCTAATACATGCAGAGTTCAAAACACTGGTTATAAAGATGCTCAAGAAAATTAATGAGGACCTCAACAGCATACAAATGGACCAGTCAGAAATGAAGGAAGCACTAACTGAAATAAAGAATAATTTACAGGGGATCAATATCAAGCCAAGAAGCAAACCATTGATTTGGAATATGAGGACACCAAAAACACCCAATCATAACAGCAAAAAGAAAAGAAAATTTAAATGAGGATAGTGTAAGGAGAATCTGGGACAACTTCAAAAACACCAACATTTGCATCATGGGGTTGCCAGAAAAAGAAGAGAGAGAGAGAGAGAGACAGTGCAAAAAATTGAAAACATATTTGTTTTCATAACAGAAAACTTTCCTAACTTGGTGAAGAAAATAGACATACAAGTCCAGAAACTGTAGAGAGTATTAAACAAGATGAACCCAAAGAGAACCACATCATCATCAAAATGCAAAAGGTTAAAGAAAAAGAGAGAATTGTAAAAGCAGCAAGAGAAAAGCAGTTATGTACCCACAAAGGAGATCCCATAAGACAGTCAGCCAATTTCTCAGAAGAAACTTTGCAGACCAGAAAGGAGTGGCAAGAAATATTCAAAGTAATGAAAATCAAGGACCTACAACCAAGATGACTCTATCCTGTAAAGCTATCA